TGAGGAACATATCTATTTTGGTCAACAACCACCGTGGTTGTTTATGATAATGTCCTGTCGACAGTACTATTGAGGAAACTCAAGAGCACAAGATAGTCTCTAACCATTTCAGCCGTTTCCTCATAATCGAAACTCCAGCTTTCGTAAAGCTTAGGATGCCTTCGAAAGAAGTCATTAGTATCTCTGCTAGAGTTGGCCTACGTTCCACGCACTGGACCGCTCTCTGTCACTCCTATTATACTCTACCCTCTGCTATTAAGGTATCGAGTTAAGCTGTGCTGTTACTCTCTCACAGAGTCTAACATCAAGAACCACTCGTAATTGCACAATAACGCAAGCTAGTTCCCGTTTGCCCATGGAGTTTCTAGCAGAGAGGAATACCTCGCGATACCCGTATCGTTGCGGTAGCTTCTTTTGTCACTCAAGCTGGTCCGATGGATCTTGTGACTCACAATTCGTGATAGTTATTCTCTATTAGATATAATAGTGATCGGCATGGTGGTATCCACATGGATGCGATAGTACGTTCCCATCGTTGTTATGTGGCTGATGGCACCACTGAGTAATCTAACTTCATTTTATGATTAATTGTGACATTAAAGCTCATTGAAAGGAGGAATTCCCGATGTTGGAAGCACTCTTCAATCCGATATTTATGTTCAATTGGAGTCAAGACGCTGAGAGAGTGTTGACTTTTTATCTAAGTTTGATTGTTCATCATGTTGTCAAATACGCTGCGTCCTACTGCAACCATCACGCATCTCCTACAGCCATCGTGCAGGTAGAATTAGGGTTGGAATATATGTTCGCTTTTCTCAGCTGAGCTCAACAGTTTCATCGCAGTTTGTTCGCTTAGCTCAACAGATTGTAGAAGTATACACACGCTTCAGAGTAAAAATGTACAGTACGAGAACCAGGGAGAATTTACCGAAATTTTTATATTGGCAGCTACGTATGTAGTTGACCATGTGCCTATTTTCCCACGCTGGGTAGGACGGTACCTACAGCGCAAGATTCGTCCACTGAGACTGGTATCTTACGTCATATATCTTCTTAGGATTCAGCAACTCCTGTTCGCTCCGTTACAGTCACGTGGGTTCGGTAGCTGCCGAAAAGGCTGTGGTCATCATCAGAGGCGTTCATATGAGTCCAGTCGAGAACCCTCCTCGTCGTTCGAATTCTGGTATCCTTCCCCCCTCAGCGATGATCTCACCACGCAAGATATCCAAGTAACCGACCTTTGCTTGCGTATGTGTTCTCCATCTTTCCGCATTCCTTGCTCTCCTATGTCCTGTATACATGACGTCATTGATAGGTGCATGTGAGCACGGTGTCAGATATTGAGGGATGGATCGATCTGGATGCGTGTGGCCTTCGACGACGACCGCGTGATGCTTCAAAGCGGTGTGCCGTAAAGAAGGTAGTATGAATTGCTGATGGAAAATAAGAAATAGACATTTTTTCCAGTCTCATCAGTGCTGTCGTAAGGATCACGGCAACCTCTGCCACCATCATAGTGGCGAGTGCCATCCTGGTGGATGCAGCCATCAAGCCACGGACACACATAGACTGGCGCACGCCTTTGAAAGACATGTAATAACACAATTGATTCTACTACTACTACTACCAGTACTTGATGTCGCATTCAGGATGGTGGCTCTATTGACCGATACAGCGAAGCAGAGAAGGAGGTCACCGGGGAGGCAGGGGATATGATACAAAGCCTGAGAGAAAACCTGAGCACCGGCGTTGATTCTGTAATACTGATAATAAGCTGTTATCGACATACCACACCTTCTGCAATCTCCGTCTAGTCTTCTTATGATGTCGCTTCAGTACGGCCGACCAGCATTGGTTCGAGCAGCTCTATGGCGTCGGCCCGATCTCGTTCGTGAGCTACTCCGCGAGGGAGCTGATCCTACACAGTCTAGCAGCGGGTAATAGCGTGTTGTCATCACGAATCGTCCTTTCTGTTATTTCGGTTATTTTGCAGAGTTGGCGATACGGCGATAAGAATCGCGGTGGAGGGTAACAACGAAGAAGTCCTTAACGAGGTCGGTTGTTGATCGCGACTCGGGTTTTGAAGGTTTTTGTATGTACGTCAGATAGTTGAAAACGTCGGTCCTTCTGGAAAAGATATCGCGTATAACACGATCGATCGAAAGCGTGAGGGTAGCAGTAGCGCCTTTACAGCCTAAGAATTCTAATGCTTGTTTTTGACCAGCTCTCAAGAATCTACTATCTGTTAGGGATAAGACAGGTCGCAAGGTTTCCGAGTATCCAGGAGCGCTGGCCATCCAGATGGCTATCAGTCGGGCTTACGAGTACTTGCTCAATATATGCAAGTTTGTGGTTGACGATGCCCCTCGACCCGATCTTATGAGGCCTGAGGATAATCGTGCTATACCTGTACATGTGGACTCTGTCGATTGGGTAGGAGCGTCCAGGGCGGGGGGTTATCTAATCTGTCCCTTCAGAGTGGGGAAACAGCGCTGTTCTCTGCTGTCAGAGGAGGCCATTTGTACAAGGCTGAATTCCTCCTTGATAACGGGGCTGCAGTCGACAAGGAAGTTTGGGTAGGTTCGGGATCCGTCGGGGTGTACGACCGATCTCGTCGTGTTGCAGGGGAGGACGGCACTCCACGAAGCAGTTCGAGTGGGCGCAGTAGACCTCATGAGACTATTGCTGAAGCATGGCGCCAATCCCAATTTGATAGCGAAAGTAAGCAGTACTTGAGTGCTATGGCAATATCCCTGCAAACAGGATAGTGGCTTATCTTGTCTTCATACGGCTATAGTTTGTGGTGGAGATTTGGAGGTCATTCGCTCACTCCTCGACAACGGTGCTGATCCTGCGATCAAGTCATTGAGTATCTGTCACTTATCATGCCAAGGTGAAGGACGCGAAATATCGTAAGGCTTGCAATCCGTGATATTTGTACATCTAGGGCGTTCAGGTCTGGTTCGACGGCAATGCACTTCGCCATGCAACTGGAACGCCGGGATATCGCGGCTCAGGTTAGTTGACGGCATTTACATAGACGACCCTTGAATAGATACTGGACTCCATCGGACCTCTCCCTTCCGACGTAGACGCCGCTATTCGGGATGAGAAATCGAGACGTAAGTGATGATGGGGTCCGCCATCGCTAGCCGTCCTCAGGTTGTGAGCATCTTATGCACATCCGTAATGATGCTGGGCTTCTGGCCGCATCTACAGCGTAGGGTGCATCGCGATGTATGGTGAACAGCAGGGAGCCCCCGGGAAGAGCTCCACTGTGGAGGGTATCGGGTCATTCGAATCACCGTTTGATAACAGTGTGGATGTTTCCTATAATATAACTACTACATGTTGAGCTGTTCAATGTTGATGTTCATTCTCATCAATAGCTTACCAATGATATACTCACGCATGGGCGTGCGTGCTGATCTGTGAGACTTTGGTTCATCTCGAATCGGATCGACAATAGCGGTGAGAGAACCCTTATTCCAATTGTTAATATATTAGGAGGACAAAGTTATGCCAGTGTTCCTCTGCACGCATACACACCTTTTTCTGGCTTTCCGGGGGATTTTGTCTTCGACACCTGCGCTTATGTCGGCGAATTTCATACATTATATTTGATGCACATTCACGCTTGTCGTTGTAAGTATATGGATGACATTGTCAATGCCCAAACTCTGTTCACGGATGCGCGGTGTCGTGTCCCTCACCCCTCGTCCGCTCATTTCTATGACCCCTGGTGTCAGTAGTCTTATTGGCTCTGAGCGCCCTGCTGTTCATTATCAGCCTATGAGGTAGCCTTTTGGAAATATATCCCTGCTGCGGTGATGGCGATGTCAGGTTCGTCAGTTCGGCCGCACACTCTGAGTGTGGTATAAGACGTGGTTTGATAGGCTGGACTGATCTCGAGCTGGCCGCATCGGCCGGCAACCTCTCTGAGATTAAGACGTTGATAGCTCGTGGAGCTGATCCTCGAGCAGCGAACGAGGTGAATACAGTGCTGATTAGATGACGAGTCAAGGCGCCCCTTGTTAGAATGGTCAAACCGCCCTCCATTTTGCTGCAGTGAACGGGCATCCGGGCGCAGTAGAGCTTCTGGTAGAAGAGGGCGTTGATCTTAACGCCGAGGACACCGTAAGTTTGGGCTCTCGTTTTATAGCAGTGAGAAGATATATACAGCATCGAGTCATTGATGAAGTGCAGACGTTTCCGATCTCCATCGTATTCCTCATTGATTTTAGTGTGGCCGTATACCCTTGGTCCTGGCTGTACAACAAAAGCAGAAGGACGCTGTGGAGGCCCTTATACGGTATAAGCCGTCAATCAGTACTGAGCAAGTGAGTGCTCACTCACCTGTCGTGATATCCAACATCATCTGATCTCAGCTCTTAAAAGCTGTGCAGTTGGCGCACAACAACGGCGACGAGGAAATTTTATCTATTCTTCGCTCGCCCGATGTGCATGTCAATGCAGATCCCGATGATCAAGAGTACCACTGTATGGGGGTTCACATAGAGTGAGAATAAGACGCTAGTAATCGGAAACAGCGTATGCTTTTCAGAGGCAACACTCGGGCGCCTTGGGAACAAGCAGACGCTCATGCACCAATTGAATCAGCATGTGATGAATCGACGGTAGCCTCAGGAGACCGGAGAAATTTTACTATACAGCAGAATGGGGGTGGCCAGGTGCGTGCATGATGGTGTGTGGTTCGTAAAGCGTGGGCACTCAGGAAGCGCTTTATCGAGCTACTCCGAAATCTGATAATTTTGATATTGCCTCACTTGAGGAGGAAAGACGAGGTGAAGCTCTCACACGTATTCGCACCAACCGGACTCGACATTTGTAGGTTTATTCTCCACGTTAAACAGTGGTCAAGATCTGAGTTCAGCTGAAAAGGCGGGCCTCCATAATTCCCTTACAGCGGTCGGGAGGAGAATGCACGACATCGAATCCTTGATCGAGTCGTCAATTTTTGGGCAGCTGGACAGGATGGAAGATATTCTCCATGACAGTGTGGGGACCTCAACTTTGAAAGTAGACTCGACAGATGAAGTAAGCAACTGCACTAGTTGTTCATCACGATTGTCTGTGTAGTTGGGCTGGTCAGCTCTACACTGGGCCGCATACAAGGGCCACAGTAACATCGTGGATTTGCTGCTGGAACATGGAGCTAACACAACTAAGCTCACAACGAGGGTGGGATTTCCTCTCTTAAGGAAGTTGATATTATAGAGTCGTTTTTAGGAGGGCGCCAGTCCTCTAATATGTGCGGTCGCTCGGCAGGACTGTGATTCTACTGCTCGACTTGACATTATCCGTGCACTACTGAAACATGGAGCGCAACCGAACGGACAGGACGGGGTGAGTGGCCATCACGATCTGTTGATCTCTCGAAGCACAGTTCTCCCCATCTGAATAAGACAGTTGTTCGTGTGCTAGACTGATTGGTTTTTCAGGATGGTGAGACTCCCCTTCATTTTGCCGTGAGCTTCCTTGAATACGACGTTGCACAAGTGTTGTTGGAGAATGGCGCTGATCCAACCATCAGGACTCATTACTCGATCACTGTTGGCGATAACAATTTTGCGTGAGTTTTCATGTGCATGCTGTGGCTGACGAATATCATAGTCTCTCAGAGCTGGGAGCACGCCTCTGCACTATGCTCATCAGCTCGGCGCTGAGAATCTCATCAGGCTGGTAGGTAGCGAACTGATTCTTCGGTACAACCAACGTTCGCTTGTAACAGATTGCTTCGTATGCTGGAAGTTCCGATAACAGTGATTGGCAGTTCTCTTATAGAACAAGTGAGCTCTAGTGATGATTAGTTTTCCTTATAAGATAGTTATGTTCAGACCTATGTGATGTTAATATGATGCGAGATAGTAACGGTCATACGCCTGTGCAATTACACCCACGATGGCCTTGCTATATGATTTAATGATTTTGTGTATAGAGGGTGTATAGCTCCAGCTTCCTGCGTGCTGCTCGATCTGGGTGCTCATCTCTTCATTTCGTACGAGCCGATATCCTAGTGGGATAAAACCGGCAATTTTTGCTGTAACAATACACTTTTACGAAGAGATAGATGCCACACCAGTATGAGTGTTATTGCGTTCCTGAGTAGTGAGCTACATCTGATCATACGGGCCAAACCTCTACAGTGGAGTTTCACGCGCTTTGCGAAAATGTACAACTCATGGCGCATGATGCAACGCGAAGTTGATGATTTTTGAACACGTTAAACGTTCAAGTGTTGAAATTCTGCATCCGTAATGCATCAATATAACTCGCGACGAGCCACCCACCACAACTACACTCGAATGCAAAACAAAGCATGAGAATTGAAAAGTCAAGCTTATATGGTGATGATGATGTAGATGATAGGGTAAGACGAAGTCAACGTTAACTATAGAAGTGCAAACCATGTCACATGATGTGAGCAGTAGACGATGTGCTCAATGGCTATAGAAGCCTTCATGTATATTCATAGGTGATATACGCTTACGGCGATGCTCATATGATATGTTTGTTGCGGTCGACTATAAGAGTGACTCTTGAAGAGTCCACTCATATGTCGCTCTCCGACTGAGGACTTGCTGTGCCAACACAACACTAAGACAAGTAGTCCATTGAAGTGAACACTGTGAAAAGCGAGATAATGTTGTCAGCCGAGACTTTGCATCACGGGCTCCACATCTTGAGATGCAACGGGGGTCCTTCTCCCCGACATACCTACAATACCACACTCCGCGCGAGACGCTCAAAATTTACCACCAGCGTTGTTGATTGTGTGATGGTCGGCTAAGTAGCGCAGGATCTCCACCAGTAATGACTTGTCCAAAGAAGCGAGCTTCTCCTGCCGGCCTAATCTCAACGCAGTACCAACAGGATTCATTAAACTACTTACCAACTGCGGTAAAATGCTCAGCGATGAAGTCCAGTGCCATTCGACGTACAGGTCCGACATTCAGGGCTGCCGAGGCCTCGAATACATCTGTTGCTTGAATGAGGCGTTCTGTGGAAAGGAGCCGCCTCACCCAGTACGTCCCTCTCATTGAATGACTGCCTCAAAGCTATTTCACAGAAATACCGCAATCGGGAGTTGCTCAGCTGGTAGAAGTCCGAGGCATCTACCAGGTACCTTATAGAGTCGCCGCACAGTGAACCACTGGAGTGATAACGTCGAGGCTACATCGCCGTTTGGGGGACCATGTTGGTCGTACCGGTGTAAACGTACTCTAAGAAAGTATTGAAACCCGTTGCTGTCATAGAGGTGGCCTCATCGGGCAAGACCTGTGAGTAACCTTCTCAGCATGGTCCTTGTGACAGGCCCTACCAAGCGGTTCTCCTGGGACTCAGTCATGCCAGATTGCATCAGCATAGCGAAGTACTGGCACCGAGCTGCTAGCACAAACCGATGGCACCTAAACTCCTCTCCCTGGACGACCACCTGAATTATCTGCTGAGATAGGTGTATAGAATTTCAAAACTCACATCGAAGTCTCCATCATTATCATCACCATGCAGTAGTTTCTGCATGTCGTATTGCATAGTTGAAGCTTCTACCTATAGTAGCCTCAGCATGGGCACTAAAAGGTGGGCCCTACCACTATAGGAGACAACGGGCATCTACGCTGATACGCGAATGCCGCCGAACCGTCTCCGCCCGGACTGGGGGCTACACGAATGCCATCCATCGACGCAGTCGAGAACTGAGGAAGCCAGCGCTAGTGTTTCGAGACCGATTGCTGTTACATACCCCTCGTGAAGGGGAGTTCAACCGGGCGCCCGTAGTGGCGGTGCCCAGCGAGGGGCCTTGGGACGTCACAGTCATGCAACGCATGAGTTCACACAGTAGTCGGGGGTCCAATGTCTCACAGCTCTCTAGGGCAGCTGAAATCACGATGAAGGATGGGGACAGAATGGCGCTGCTTACCACACTCAGCGTAATTATTAAGGAAGAAATACTTGCAAGTTTCGATGAGACTCCTCACACTAGCAGAACAGGGCATCTACACACAAAGAACTTCCTGAGCGGTGATAACGCTAGGCAGCGTACCGAGTCGTAGCAGTCACGCAGAATCAAGAGCACCGATTCTGAGCTCAGCTTGATGCGGATTTGCCTGTGACAGAGACTTGCCAAACGATCGAGCTCATACCTGCGAGAGACGAGATCGTGTTGTGACCGAACGGGAGGCTGCCCACCTGGCAGCTTCTCGAAAGAGATCATATAGTTCCATGCATGCCATCGTGGTGAGATCAAGGGCTTGGTCTGTGTGAATGTAGTACAGAAGACGCAGAGTTGTGTAGCGGTTTGGGCCTTAGAGCATCGATAGAGGAACGACTATAGCGTCATGGTTCACCTGTGGAGTCCTCTCCCGAGCTCATTGGGAGTTTCCACAGCATCCCGCACCGTCCGGTCGTCGATTCAGAGACCTGCTGGGTTCAGCAATCATACAGATGATGGGCACTTGGAGGCACCTTAGCAATCGCCCGCGCTAGTTGGGGACACCGGGCCCTCAGGATGCTTCTGCTGGCTACTAGCTGCCACTTCGAAGAGTCCAATGAGGGTACGACCAACACCTGTTACCAATGTGGGAGAATATGCACATGGTCAGCTACAGGCGTTGGCGATAATGTGGAAGTTCTGAGGAGATTCTCGTTGGTTTATGCGCACTTTCACCCGAATTCGTATGTAAACGTTTTTAATCAGTGAGGAAACTTCTGAGCTGAGGAAGGCGAACATACATTCCAACACTGCCTATTGCGGCTTCTGGGAAGCGACTAGCTGCCCGGTCACTTACGTTACAAAGCGAGTCCTGACCATCCACAGCTGCCTGACACTTCAAGAACCGGTCCCCGAGGTCCGAGCTCAAAGTGCACACAGGTGGGGCAGAAGACAGGACGAACCGAGAGGCATCGTTGTGTCTGATAAGGAAGAGCCATCGGGGCCACTCAGGACGTTTGCTACCTTGTATGGCCGGAGGAGCCTCCAAAGATGACCATGGCCTCGAGTTCCTCACCAACGCTGTTCCCAGGGCTGGACCAACTGTCCGGACCACGATCGGACAACGCCGATAGGACAGGCTGGCGGGCAGTGGTCACGGCGGCATGGAAATCCCGACCGGGCGGGGCTTCCAGAGCATGCACAGGTAACTGAAAAACAACAGTGATACTCCTGGGCCCTGGCCCTGCCCTGGCCCACTTGTGACCACTCCTGCGTGTCAATATCGAAGATGAGCAGGTCGTTGGTCCTTCGCCCATCGTTGCCACCATAGACCAACACTTTCGAGTCATGCAGTACAGCCGCATGAGCGTATCTGGAAGGAACCGTAGCATGCAGTGCCATAGCGGGGACACCCACCGACCTGCCCTGTTGGAAGTGGCCCACCCCTGAGCAGACCAGACGTTTCCAGGTGTTGGTGCATAGATCGAACTCGAATACATCACCATAACGCGCCGTGCCCGAGCCCCCAAAGACATACATACAGTCATTCCGTACCAAAGCTTGGTGACGGTACCTGTCACGAGGATGTACCACCGACAGAAAACTGTGGTGGTCTGGACCTACCTCCCAGTTGGCTGCTCGCCTGTCATCGCCACGCCAAACCACCGTTTGGATATGAGGTCAAATCTATGCATGTCGGTCGGGTAGTTGGTGCCATGGGTTCCTCCCCATATGTACAGCTGCTCCTTATGCTGGACCATGCACTGGCCATACCGTGCTGTCGGCGCATCGTGCATCTCTGGGCTCAATTGAAGCGTCGTCGGCGGTGGGGAGTCTCCCTGATAGAATGAGTACAACCAACGACGTGCCCACCGGGCTCACCGTAGTAGTAGCAGTATGAGGACCACCAATACCTGCTACTACTTGTGGAGGCTCTGATTCAGCAGCTCCCCTGACAGGGACACCAACACGGCCTCCATCGGTGGCAGAGGTGGGCCGCAGGGAGGAAGCGACCGTCGATATACCAACTTCGCAGAGTAATGACCATGTGCTCGTATCATAGGCGAACTCGTACAGGTCACACTTGTTGGTGTACCCAAAGTGGGAGCCGCTACCACCAAAGACAAACATGGACCCCGCCAGTTCATCTGAGGCGGCAGTGTGGGAGGCCCGTCCGCTGGGCTTGTCGCCATGACCCTCGACCTTGGACCAGGCCAGGCTGTGCAGGTCCAGCTGGTAGAGGTCGTCGAAGCACTGCTGGCCATCGAAGCCACCAAAAATATAGAGGAACCTGGCCAGCTAACTTCAAGTGGGACCATCAGACTTTGCCTACCTCGATCGGTAGATGCACGCCGTGTGACCACTGCGGACCCTTGGGGTCTCTCCAACACAGTTGGTCAATGGCTCCCAATACGGGTACTGTCGACTGTTGCTAACAACTGATGCATCCTGGCCACTGTCAGGGGGCGAGTCGGCCGCCGACTGAGCTACTTGGGGACCACACCGAGATGAATACAGCGCGGGAATGACAAAAACGGAGACTAAAATTAGACAGGCCACCTTCACATTGACTATAACACAACACCACTCAACACCTTAGAGTAACAACGAGCAACACCATATCATGTAGCTTCAACAGCACCAATTTGAGTGCCCTCCTCGGCCAGAGCCTGCTCTCGCTTGGCCCTTCTGGCCTCTCTTCTTTTCCTCACCAACTCCTGTTGTTCCTCCTTCACCCTCACTCCCTCAGATGGGGCCGTTTCTGTTACCGCCGACGGGCCTCGACTGCCACCCTGTGTAAAGAGCACAGTAGTAGTAGTAGTAGTAGTAGTAGTAGTAGTAGTAGTAGTAGTAGTAGTAGTAGTAGTAGTAACGGAGTAGCGTATAGACCCACAGATAGCAATGACGCCTTCCTCATCCTGTGCAGGGCCGTTGATGCCAGGAAGCTTGGACGGCTCGGTGCTACACCGTGGCATGAGATCATGTTGTAGTTATTGAATTCACTCACCATGGCCTGAGGTTCTACCACTAGTACGTCGTTTTAGGCGGAGGGAGCTATTCAGACGACTTGACCGTCGCCTAAAACAATGATCTATATACACATAACGAGTGCTGGTGTCTACGAGGCCGCCGAGGACTCCAATGGAAAGAGTGGATAAGCTTGATTCAAGGGGCCGATGTCCACCTTGGGTATGTATGGGAAAAGCTCACCTACGACGAGGAAACTAATCTGGGTATGGAGAGCGTGCATACCCTGTAGGAAAGCTTGATAGTAGAGGCCCGTTTCCTTCATCTGATAGTGGAGTGGTACCCAGGCTCGGATGTGGTCCACTGGTGGTATCAACGTTTTGTTCGTTTGTAGGTCGAATGGGACCTCCGCCAGCATCCCTAAGGACCAGCAAATATTCAGTAATCTTCCATCGAACCCTACCCCTCAGCTCTGCTATCGAGAGCCCTCCAGCACTGTCCGTGTGCCTCATGACAGCTCTCTGGAAATGCCATACATCGACAGGGCCTCGTCCATGGTCATTCCAGATGTAAGAAGTGACCAACTGGACCTGACGACCACACCACCACCAAGTAGCACGCAAACGCACTTTGAAGAAGATACCAATTGCTTCTCGCAAGTGTCCTTGTCCACCGCCCCTTGGGGTCCTTGTTGCTCCTCATCGTCATCCTTAGTCTCATTAGCTGCCACTGCTGACTACAAACAACAACCCATGTTCGACCATCTGGGCCAGCCGAGGGTACACCAACCTGCATGAGCATGTTCAACTCATT